GGGGCAGGCGGGAATCGAACTCATGCGGAAGTGGCTTTAGCTTCTTACCTAAAGCACTGCAGTGCTTTAACCCGCTGCACCACCAGGAAGGGCAGGTGTTAGGATTTTTTTTAAAGGGAGGGGTGATGTGATCAAAGGAAGTGATATATACAATATATATGAAAGAGAGCTAGTAAAAAGAATCCTCTAGTAGTCTAGGTTTGGGCTAATAAGAATCTAAAGTACAGTGACAGTAAAAATAGGAAAGAAAGTAATCCAAGACTATGAAGAAAGGACAAACATGATCTAAGTTCTAATCTTAGCTGAAAGAAAGGGCTTGAATTAAAAGGACTTGTTATATAACAGGCTTCTGAGATTATAAAGAATGTTGTTATTGCAGATAACTAGTCAGGGGCAGACACTTCTTGGGGAAAATGAAGTCCATTTCAGAATAATGTCAGGTGATGCCAGGATGTTTGGGAAAGGGGAGAATGAGTGAGCACACCCCCCCCCCAATCACTAATGCTGGATAGGTTTATCACTGTTTCTTTGATCTGATAACCAGATCTCCAAGCTCACTTATCAAGTCAGCTTGGGATGCACAAATAAAATTTTTAGAGAAGATCTTAATACCATAGGTAAGATGCTATTTCATCTTCTTCTGAATGATTCTCATGTCATGCATATATTAGCAGGCATATATAAATAGAGTCTGTCAGACAAATATAATGAGCATAGGTCAAAAGGCACTAAGTGGAAAACCCTCCCTACCCTGGAGGCGGGGCTTGTTCTACAAAGCCTCCTGTGGTGCCAGCCGGCAACTAGACACATTGGAGTTTTTTCCCCCTGTGACATGTGCTTCAGCTGCAGTGGAAAGGAAATGTGTCATCTGTGGTTTGGTTTTAGAAGTGGAAAGCTAGCTGTACATATCCTTTTTTACTGCAGATTTACTTGAAGGCTCACATTCTTCAATTCTATTCTGCTTTAAATTATCTGGAAGCTGTGCTTCAAGACAAGAAAAGTGACTTATTAAAATCAGTTTGTAATCAGATTCTGATCAAGCACTTCTTAAGGTAGGTGATATATGTGGCTTTTCTTATCCATTTTCACTTATAACTTTATACTAATTAGTATTTGAGGAAGTTCTTTCAGCTAGAACTGAAACTCTCGCTAACAAAGAAGAATCGTAAGTATTGAAAATGTATGTTATTTTCTGTCTTGGCAAGTAAAATTTAAGTTAGAAGTAGATTTACCACCAACATACAGCTTGGATTTGGAAGGACCTGAATTTAGACTCCACAAATGAATTAGAAATTTGTTATTAAAAAAAAAAAAGCTTTAAAATGTTCTCATTATTAATGTTTAGGCATTATAAATTTGATTGGAAATGACCAGAGATAAAGAAAACTTTTGATGACATAACTTGGGAGTCCAAGGTATAAGTTAGGGATAATCAGACAGACCTCAATTTAGGCATTTGTGGGATAGGAGAATGTCTCACTTTGACAATGGTTTGTTTATTTAGGGACAGCAGTACCTCTGGCTGAAGACAATTAACAGCGGGCCTATTATCTGTCCCGTGGTAAGCACTGTTAAAGTGTGCAAGAATACCACGATGTATACTACATTGTTAATGAACTAATAAGATGAGAATAACCCAATTTAATTGTTTTAGCATCTAATGCAGAAATTCAGGCTAGTATGAACAGAATGGACATTACTTAGTAACTGTGAAAGAATCATAGAATAGCCACAGATTTATGCCATTCCACTTAATAATTGAAGCTGAACATTATTACATAAAAGGCAAGCAAAAAAATCTTTAACTGTTTATTTAAGGTCACAACCTAGAAAGCAATCATAATTCTAGAATAATTAACACAGCTTTTTACCTTCATTTAGGAATAGGAAATGTTATGAGAGGCTAGTTTCCAGTTAGCATTGTTTATTATATACTATTCTTGCTTATGTAACTCATCATGTCTCCTCTTTTATTCTTAATTTTGATATATCAATAGTATATAAATATTAGCTGATGACTTATAACAAGTTCTTCTTAGCCCTTGTATTTAAAAATATGGCTAGTAATGGTTATATATTATGCTTAGTTAGCATAATAGACTTAACTACATTAGATTTTGTATTAAAAAAAACAACATATGCACATTCAAATTTGAGAGAAATTCCTGTAAAATATATAGGGCTTGTAAACAGGAAATTTAATTTAGAAAACCTCAAGGTAATAAGCTAGCTATTACTTCAAGTTCCCTCAATAATAAGAATAGTCTAGAAAAGTTACTGAGACCAACTGGATATTAGGAAAGAGATAGCTAAATAGTGGTAATACATTTTCCCTACTGAGTGACCAGTACCTAAACAGATATGCCAATAGTATTTCTTCAATAATATAGTGCATAATAAGGGTTAAGAACAAAAAAGTCCCATTTTTATACTGGCTTCCAGAGAGCTTAGTGCTAAAACCGAAATTCAACTTTGCTGACTTTCATATTCAAATGAAGATGAAAAAATCAGTAACTTTTGTTGAACTTCTGGAAGTATTTAGAAGAAATCTTCTTTTTTTTTTGTAATGCCATATTTTTAGGTTGAGAAAACTAGCATGTCTATGTTTTTGGAAGTCATAGTAAGTCAAGGGACACAGAAGTGAAAAGCACTACAAAATTGCTTTCATGAATACAGTTCTAAGCACCAGCTGTATTCTAGACTTCAAGATAAATAGCCAAGAAGAAAACTGAATACCTTGAATTCCCATTTGAAATCCACTTTCCTTTAGTTGCTACCACACTTCCTCACGACCCCACCCAAGCCCCACCTACCTCAAAGCATCAATTTTTCTTTTTATACTTGAAGCAAAATGCTCAAAGTTTCATCTCTCTTTTAGTATAAAGATTGGTAACATTTGCTAAATGGTAAGAAGTTTCTGCAAGAAAGATCCTGAAATGGTGGTGGGGGAGGGGAGGAGGAATCAAAAAAAGTAAAAGGAGAAGTAACTGACTCAAAGCTGAAGTCTAGTATGTTTAAGAGGAAAAAAATAGTACAAAACCACAGTGTCCTGTTTAAAATGATTAACAATTTTTGTTAGATTTAGAATGCTGAAAGTATAGAAGTTAAATTGTTTCTTTTTACACAGCCTTACAGAAAATAATTCAGTTGGGGGAACCATCATTCTTTCAGAAATTAACAGTCTATACTGCTATCTCCACAGATTATCATTCACGGACATGGAATACAGAGAATATCTGCATCTTGCCCTTCTGATGGTGACAGTTTTCTCTCATGAAACAACAGCAAGCTATACCCATCTGAGGGCTAATGATACTACTGTCTGGGAACCACATATTCAAAATAAGATGGGCAGAAACCAAAATGAAAACATTACGAACCTTACAACTACTAACATAGATAAGAAAGGTAATTTTTCAAACATGCCTGAAAGACCTACATCATCTCACATCGTGTCATTAACTCCTAAATCTGAACTGGAGCTTTATACACCCTCTGTGGTCAGAAATAGTTCTCCAACAGTGCAGAGCATCAGAAACACAAGCAAAAATCACAGTGAAATTTTTAAAAAAGATGTCTGTGAGGAAAATAACAACAAAATGGCTATGCTAGTTTGCTTAATTATAATTGCAGTGCTTTTTCTTATCTGTACCTTTCTATTTTTATCAACTGTGGTTCTGGCAAACAAAGTGTCATCTCTCAGACGTTCAAAACAAGTAGGCAAGCGTCAGCCTAGAAGCAACGGCGATTTTCTGGCAAGCAGTGGTCTATGGCCTGCTGAATCAGACACTTGGAAAAGAGCAAAACAGTTCACAGGGCACAACCTAATGATGCAATCTACTGGAGTGCTCACAGCAACAAGCGAAAGAAAAGATGATGAGAGAACTGAAAAGCGTACCATCTAACAGATGCGTTAGTGAAGAAAAATGCAAAGTAGTCATGAGAAAGTATTTGGAGTAAAAATGAAGTCAGTTTGATATTTAATGCCACTGTGTTGTCTGGTGGTCTAAAATTTGATATGGCAGGCCTTGCAACTTAGATTTAAATAGGTAAGAAGTATACCTGCTTACTTAGTTACTCACACTGTGCATTTTTGTTTTGACAATGTTCTGGAAAGAGAAAAATTGATAATAAAAAATAAAACCACCAAGCATTTGGAGAGGGTTTCAGGGATGAATGGAAAAAATGACAACAGTAAAAAGGGACAATAAAATAAATATCTGCTGTTCAGCAATGTAGTTAGATGAACTTGGAAGAGTCTTAGTGGATCCTAAGAGATTCAGCATCTAACATAAATTGAATTACTCGCATAGAGTTGAACAGTATAGTTTAAGTGGTACGGTTTCTGCTGAATATAACAGAATCCACACTGGCTAGTTTTTCCACAGCTAATTTTATTGCTAGATGTCTTAATTTTTATATATGGCACATACAAGAAAGTGTTTTCCTACCATAAATACTTAACTAAAACAATTCTGTATAATAAATTAAGACTCAAAATAAAACTGTGTATCTATATTAACTTTATTATCAGAAAGATTACACTGTAATGATCAATAAGGAACAGAACAAAGTAAAAAAGATACATATAGCCACACCAGTTGGCTGAGCTAAGTCCATGTCTTTTTTTTTTTTTTTAAGATTTATGTATGCATACAAAATTGGGGTACAGGACAGAAATGTGTGAGTAAGAGGACTCACCAGAGAGAGTGGGGAGCAGAACAGGAAGACAAGTACACTGCTGAGGGGAGCAGCAGTGGATGGGTCAGGAGAGGTCCGCCACGCCATGTGAATAACCTCCCTGGCTAGGGATCAAACTCATGCTGCAGTGGCTGTCAAGAGCTTCACAGTGCTGCGCTTTAACCCACTGCACCACCAGGGAGGGCCCTAAGTCCACATCTTACTGTTTAAGTGTCAGATACCTTTTTCTTTTAATAAAAATTGTCTTCCAGTTTACTTATTACAAATATCCAAAGACTGATAAATCCTTGTTCAAGGATACCAATTAGCCTACCAAATGATTAATTATGCATTTTTATTACCCAATATGACATGAACAAAGGAATGTTTTTTCAAGTAAAACAGTGACTTCCATCTTAAATTAACTATATTACAAAAGTTGGTTTGAGAGACTTTCCAACTATCTAGTGAACTTGACACAAGACAATCTAAATCTAATAAGATACAGGATCATGTTAGCAACAAAAACATCAAAATTCTCCTTTATGGAACATTTACTTTGGGCAATCTGCTAGCCAACTAAGAAAAGATAGCATGTATTTTTTCTAAGAATTACCATAATCTTACTCTCCTTAGCCTGGCTACATATCACCTGTTGAGTCTTCACAAATCACCAATGCCTAATTCTTTTATCCCTTCTATTTCAAATGGAATGTACTAGGTAGGCATTGGTAACTTTTGGATAATTACTGCATACTGTAATAGTCCAATATTGCTTTAGTCATCAAATTTATTTCTTACAAGTTTCATGTTTCTAAATATCTAGGTTACATCTTCAGATGAGAAGAAAGCAACAGTGCATCACTTAATAACCAAGTCGTAAAAAATAAATCCATTCCTTAAACAGAAAGTCATAACCATAATTATTATTATAGATAAAGTAAAATGTTAACAAAGTATAATGTAAAACAAGAGAATACTCAGGCCAATCATAGTGATGACAGGTTATCTTTTGAAGGTATTTAGGACCAGACTAGAAATGAACTGGGCAGAGTTCCCATTTTATGCAAATTAAAATTTTGAGATCATGTACTAGAACAAATAGCATTAACACAAATCACTTTTTTAATTGAGAAATAACTGTCAGAAAATTGGAACAAATTAGTATCTTTTAAAATAAGCTAACTATTGCTACTTTCACACAATTCACATTTTCTCACTCGCCAGAAAGCTTCTACTATAAAATGTTTAAAGATAATAAGTAAAATATCTTTGAGTTGACATTTTGAGTTATTTTTTAACAAAGACAGTTGTTTTTCATACTAGTATCATAGTCTACACACTTAATTCTGGGATTTAAAAATAGCATATCAACCCTTTATAACTTTTGTATTCTGCTTTACAACAGGGCCCCTTAACAAAATACTCTTCTTTCTGTATTGAGTTATGAGTACCTTTAAGGTAAGAATCTGGTGTTTATAACCTGTGTTTCTCTGTAGTGAGCATTGTCTATAACATGTTGTATCAGACACTGTAGATTTATTTACTTCCACAATAAACTTCTAAATTAGGGATTATGACTTTCACTTTTCAAGTGAGGAAAGAGGCTGGAAGGTGACCGCCCCAAAGAAATTTTTATTCAGACTGATGCATATGCTTTTTAATGTGCTTTACTTAGTTAACTTATTTGAAAAGTGATCCAGTTTTACTTTCAACTGAGAAACATGCATTTTTGTGGGTAATCAAAGAACTGTGAATTTGAAATAAAAAATCATTTAGTATCTGGGTAAAAAAATTTTTAGTTATTTCAACCTGGACTTTACCTAACTTATGTTTGAGAAAATAACATACTACTTACTGTGTGAGACGCCTTTATATGCATTATCTTATTTAATTCTCATAACAACCAAGTAAGGGAAACAAACAGTCCTCCAAAGGAGGAAATGGTGACTCAGAAGTGCAACAACTTGCCTCACATCACACAAATAAGCAGAACCCATAATTCATTTTTTACAACAAGAAATCCCACTATGGGTAATAACCCAACATGCAGTTTTTCCTTAAAACATGTATTTTTTCTCTCCAAGGTTATATTCTAAATATTTAAATTTTGTAATCACATTACTAGAGGGTGTTATAAACATTAATTAAAAGCATTCAAATCATATAGCTTCAAATTATATTTCAAAATAAATTCTCTTATAGTACTACACTTCTTAGTCATTTTGTGGCTTACTGCACTTCCGGAACCAACTGATAATCTTCCTCTTTTTTCTACGGAAATCGTTTGTTTGCTAGAGGGCCATTTCTGATCTAAAGAGAACTTAACAATCCCTTTTGCTTTCTTAGTCAAGTAACCAAAATGTCCAGTTAGAACAAGAATTTAGCATCCTGCAAAAGAAGTAACAGCTGAGGTAAGGAAATTTTCACAAGGCAATCTGGTTTAATCTTTGCTGTATATAAAATTTATTTTAAAAACTAAAATGGTATTAGTATTTAAGTTTAAATTCTGATAGTTTAAAGATGCCTGTAAGTTTTGTGGTTTTGTTGCTTGAAATTTAAAAATATTCAGTGTTGTATTTGCCTTGGAGAAAATTTTTCACCTAGGTTTATATGGTATAAGCCCTTTTAAGCTTATTTGATGACGATGTTTATTAACTGTAGCTCTGCAATTAAAAGAAATTATAGCCAGGGCAGAAAAAGCTAAGGGTTAGACATAAAACCAAAATCCAAGGAGTAAACTGAATATATAATCTCCAAGATACCAGCAGTTAAATATTCTGATTTGTTTTCTGTAATCCACAGATTTCATTTTTTAATCCCCTTTAGCTTTCATAGTAAGAACGGTTTCCTTCACTTAATTTAAGAAGAAATCAAGAGAGTAGATGAGGTATTCATTATTATATATGCTTTTATTTCTTATACAAACATTTTATTAATAATAACATGGAAATATGACTCATTATTAAAGCTCTTCTACATTTTATGTAACTTATTATCTGAGCCTGACACTATAAAATAGATATAGGAAAAAATACCCAAAGAATAATACAAAATTGCTAATATGCTCTAAGTAAACTGGACAATAAGAAAGCAAATACCCTACAAAATAAGAACTGTCAAGAGTTTACATAAACCTTTATTTTAATATTATAGGATAATACATTTATAGTGAGTAAAAACCTAGCTTAACATTTCATAGATGTTCCTAACTTTCTTTTATTGAAGATCACTTTAGAATTCTTCTAAGTAACTACAGATTTCACCTCTAATTTTAAGCAACAGTTATCTATACATTTTTAAATGGCCAGGTTCTAAATTTAGAGTTAGTTCTGTGCTTTTCAACTGATTCCTGTGTAATCAATCCTACTTATAAGAAAATTATAAATTTCTAAGTTTGAATTTTGTTAAATAGAACTCTGATGCCTTTCAATGTACAATCTCTAAAAATAACTTCAAATATGATAGCTTACATATTAACCACTTAAAGCTAAAAGTGTTTTCACAGATAAAGTCACAGAACTAAACAGGTTTTCTGGTAGTTCTTTTCCTGTTTTTTTTTTTTTACACAAGACTCCCAAGGTTCACATCTCCTTTCATAAAGTATTTCTATTTAATAATTTTGCTCTGAAAGGCAGTGAAGCATATATAATGACATATTTAACAGAAGAATAGGGCTCTGGCCACTACTTGTTGCTGAAACACTGGCAAGTTAACCAACTTTTCTTTGTTTTAGTTTCTTTACTTGTAAGGTGAAGATGCCAACACCTTGGTCATTAAAATAGGATAGTGGCTAGCATTTACACAGTGAATGATAACTATAATTGATAAAAAATGATTATCAATTATTTCCTGTTAGAATTGAAGTTTAATTTCCCCTTCCCTTCTTCAATATACAGAATTGCTGTTTTCTTCCTTTTATGTTTGCATATTTCACTACTTGGAGATATACTCCTATGAGATTGTAACATACTGTATCTGCACTATAACTTTTATTTTACCAAATAAACCAAAACTTACATTATTTTTGATGTTGCTACCTACATTTGCTTTGTCATATAGGATACACTATACAAACCTTCATTTCTTTTAAAGGATGTGACATTTATTTAGTCAACTCAACAGTATACTTCAAATAATAAAAATGATAATTCTTCACATACTAATGCACTATATTTATGAGAACATGTCTAATACTTGGAAACACATCACTGTAGCTGACTTTCAAATGCTTAGTTAAAACACTATACATTTTCTTCTAAAATGAATTGTTTATTTAATATTTAATTTAAAATATTCAATATTCCTTGGAAACAAAGGACCAACATTGAAGATTTAAACTGCAAAGTTGTCAACCTAAAATGAGCAAAATACTGCCGAATAAAAGTACAGAAATTTGCCTGACTAATTTCCAGAAAAATGCAATATAGAATGTGCAGAGATTTTTGACAGTAACTAGCAGGAAAGCTCTTAGGGAGAGGGACAGGCAGACACTAAATTGAAGGGTACTTACAGCAGGACAGAGAGCCTGACATGAAAGATGAGTTTGAGAAGACAGATCATTCAAGACCTCCATTTTGGCAAGATCTGCTCCTTTGCTGGTTCCCTGAACCCACAAAAACAGGGCAGTGACAGAGTAGCATTGTGTGGTTGCTTCTTTCATCTAGTTCAATCTTTCCACCCACCCAACTACCAAATTATATAACTGCGATTTTTTATTCAGCCTTTTCTTAACTTTTATTACCTTTTCTTTCTTTCAATACTTGACCTCTAGTCAACTGACTTTATAACCTTTCCCTGAAGTAACCTGTTGCTGCTTACTATAAATTTTGCTTTACTTTTCTCTTGTGTTACTTTATATATTTCTACTTTCCTTTCTGTAGAAACAATGTTGGTTGGTCAGGTACATACCACTTACCTATTTTTTAAATGCCTTTGTTAAATAACTTTCTTCACTGGTGAAAATATGGGCTTCACTGTCTGACATTAAAAAAAAAAAGTCTCTTCACTATTATGCCCCTTACTTATTCTTTCAAATCCTGATGGTTCTTTTCTGCGTTATTCTAAACTGCCACAGTAGAATTTTTTTTTTTTTTTTTTTTTTAAAGATTTATTTATTTATTCGTACAGAACTGGGGCACAGGCCAGAGATGCGGAGGGTGAGAGGATTCACCAGAGACAGAGTGGGGAGCAGAACAGGCAGATCGACGAAGTACACTGCTGAGGGGAGCAGCGGGCGGGTCAGGAGAGGTCTGCCACACCATGTGGTCACCTCCAGGGCAGGTGGGAATGGAACTCATGCGGAGGTGGCTTTAGTTTCTCAGTGCAGTGCTTTAACCCGCTGCGCCACCAGGGAGGGCCCTGTCTAATTTTTTTTAAAGATTTATTAATTTATTCATACAGAACTGGGGTACAGGCCAGAGATGCGGAGGGTGAGAGGATTCACCAGAGACACAGTGGGTAGCAGAACAGGCAGATCGATGAAGTACACTGCTGAGGGGAGCAGCAGGCAGGTCAGGAGAGGTCTGCCAAGCCATGTAGATCTCCTCCAGGGCAGGCGGAGATCGAACTCACGAACTCACGCGGAAGTGGCTTTAGCTTCTTTGTGCTGTGCTTTAACCCGCTGTGCCACCAGGGAGCGCCCTACTGTAACCTTCAAACAAGTTTAAAATCTTGAACAGTGAGGCCCCCATGACCTTCCTATCATTAAAAAAAGGCTATGATCCTATCAAAAATAATCTCACAAACTATATGGTGTTTATAATTATGCTATGTTAGGGCTTTCTTTTCCTAATGCTTTTTTCAGCTAGGAACCATGTAGGTGGTTTTTATTTTATTTTTAATTTAAGCAAAGTCACAGAAGAGGAAAGAAACATTTTTGGCTGAATATAATTCATGGCTTATATTCTCTGTTGCTTTAGCATTTTTAAAAATTTGTTATTTAAAAAAATATTTATTTATGCTTACAGAACTGGGGTACAGGCCAAAGGTGTGGTGGGTGAGAAGATTCACCCCAGACAGAGTAGGGAGCAGAACAGGCAGATCTACTGAAATACACTGCTGAGGGGAGCAGCAGGTGGGTCAGGAGAGGTCTGACACACCATGTGGGTCAGCTCCCTGGCAGGGGATCAAACTCATGTTGCAGTGGCTTAGGAGAGCTTCATAATGCAATGCTTTAACCCACTGTGCCACCAGGGAGGGCCCTGCATTAGCATTTTTTTAGAAAAATAAAGTTAACTCTGAGGAATAATATTTTCTAATGAATTTTTTGAGAATCTCTAAGAAAGTAGGAATTACATAGATAATGACCATTTAGGGAAGATTCAAATCTTCAAAATCTTCAATTTTTTCCCTAGTGAATTTTATTCAAACTGGATTAAAAAATAACTTAGATTTCACTTTCTCTGCTTACATTCCAGAAGTAATATTAATAAAAAGTGAAATGGAAAGGAAGGAAACCAAGAAACCCAACACAGGATCATTGCTTCCTGAGTTCCTAATACATGTGGTACACTGCTGTAGAAATAAAAATATAAAATATGAGGCAGTTTAGGGTAGTAATTCCCAGGGCATCATTATGACATAGATTTGGGCAAATTAGTTAGCTCATTTGAATTTGTCTCTTTATCTGTAAAACAAAGATTCCTCCATCTTCTTTGTGGAATCATTTAGAGATGAAGTGAAATAAAAACCTAGACACCTGGAATAGTACAGCACATAGTATAGTATAAACACATAGTAAATTCTAGGTAAGTATTTTTCTTTCCTTGTTTTTTTTTTTGTCTTCTTCCAAATTCTTTACAATCTTGTTTGAGGGGATGAGGATATTAAAAAGTGCAAAGTCAAAGTAATAAAACTAAATACAATTACTTCAGGGAACAGAAGTGTGTGACGTACACATATGAAAGAAATACCCAAAGAGCCAAAAAAGACAGTAAGAACTAGACAGCTTGAGTTGATACGTTATCTCTTTGGGCTGTGGTAACAGAGAATTAGATTTAAGAAGAAATTTGTTTACTTTTTTGAGAGCATAATCCACTTATTCATTTATCCTCTTTTTAATATAACTAAAGTACAATTGGTACTGTTAAGAAGGGGGATTTAAGCTAAGGTCTGAAAGGTATAGGTTCAAATTGGCAGTCAAAAGGTAAAAGTGGCTGGGACTGGGAAAAAACACACTAACATATGTCAGTCATGAGGTGTAAATCTGTACTGATAACTCAAGCCAGAAGGAAGAAAACTCAGTTTGGAGTTATAATCTTAACAGCAATGGGGAGTAATATTATGTATGCTTTTAAAAAGTTTAATTCATCAGCAATGTTCAGAAGAGTTTAAAGGAGAAATATTTTTAAATTTAGGCTTTAAGTATTATGAGGGAGAAAGAGAAAAAGGAGAGAAAAAGAGAGGAAGAGATTGATTAGGAAAATAAAAATCACATCTTTTCTTCTACTAAAACATGGTAATTTAGCACCACTATGTACCAAATGGTCGAGGAGTTGCAAGAAAAACTATTCAAATATGCTGAAAGTCTGTTTATTTGCAAAACTCAAGAGAACTCAAGTTCTTTTACTGTACCTTGCATAGAACATCAACTTTCTCTCAGATTGGCCTATGAATCATAGAAAAACTGATTTCTAATCATATGCACCAGGATTTAACACCCTGAGGTTTTCCTTTTCCTTATGTTAAGAAACAGCTAAATAGTTACCATTGTATTTAATAAATATGCAAAAATTATACTCTCAGCTGGATATTGCCCTGGTACAATTTTCACTTCAGAGTTCTTAGTTAATTCGCACAGATCTTTCTAGATCAGTTTGACCTCTTTGAGAAACATTCCCTGAAGCCTCTCCAGGCTAGATTTGTTCTTCTGTGCATCTCCTGTGATGCACAGAGAAAACTAATCAAATTATTTTTTATTTGTTTGTTTCTATCACTAGAATCTCCTCAACCTAGGGCAAGGTTTGACACAAGAGTGTTCATTAATAAATGAATGAAAGCAGGGCCCTCCCTGGTGGCTCAGTGGGTTAAAGCGCTGCACTAAGAAGCTTAAACTACTTCCGCATGAGTTCGATCCCCACCTGCCCTTGAGAAAAAGGTCAATTCTGAGATAAAAATGAATTATTCTAAATATGCTGAATTTGCTGACAAATTCACATGTATATGTATATCAAGAAGTCATACAAATGAAACTAGAATTAAGGAGATTTGGAATGATAATATAGATTTGAGAATTATGACAAAGGTAAGAGTTGAAATATTATATAGATTCAGGATCAAAGAAAAGGATATACTAAATATCAAGTATCTAGATTCAGGAAGTAAGAGAAAATGAGGTGCTAGTGAGATTAACATGAAACATGAAAAGAAGACAAAGAGTTACTCAAATAGTAATGAGCTAACAATACCAAATGTAGTCAAGAGATGGTGAAGGGGGAAGAAGGAAGGGAAAGATGGTTGAATTAGTTACTAATAGTTACTGATGTCCTTCAAGGAAGCAAGATCAACTTATTTCTAACAGTAAAGGAAATAGGGTAGAGAGGACAGGGGAGCAGTAAACAAAGCCCCTCTTTCATTAGTACAACAGAATTGAAGGGCTGTGATGTTAATGAAGTTAGTGGTGCAGTAGGGCGAACTACAGGTCTTAGGGCGGAATTAAAAGAGGATCACTGCCTATGGGGGCCAAATGTTATATGATGAGTTGGAGGATATTCAAGAGTTCTTTATACTAGTCTACAGTGTATCAAGTCCAAATTGGAAATTAATACTTATCCAGTACCAGTATGTTTTATGTCAGACACCAAATGATACCTAATTGTCTTTCTTCTTTTTTTTTTTTTTTTAATAAACACACTGGTAAAGAGGAAACTGTGAAATGGATCCCAAATATTTCATCCTAATTTTCTTTTGTGGATACCTGAATGATACAGTTTTCTCAGAAGTGGAGGCCAGTACCACAGAGATGCAGCCACCATCTACTTTATTTAATAAATCATTGGTGTCTTCTGTCTCAGCAAATTCTCAAAACTCAAAGAAGAATTCCTTGGACCAACCAACACAATCCAACAATGTTTCTTCTGGACAAAAAGTATCACCTACCAAAGCCACTGCTGGACAAACATTGGTCAATAACACCACAAAACAACCAAAAACAACTGCCAATACCTCTTCCCAACAGACAGCATTATCTGTGTTCACCTCTGCCAGACTACTACCATCATCTGGGCATACTTCCACCAAAGAACTACCCCAGCCTGTCTATACTTCTCCTCAACAACAACGATCTGTTCACACCTCTGTTAGAAAACCAACAACAAATAAAAATCTATCTACACAAGCAACACCAACTACCAACATTTCAGCTAGGCGTATACCAGAGTTCTTCCTTGAAACTCCCAGTAACAAAAAAAATACACATAGTACCAAGTCTAATTCAGTAGCTGCCGTGTTAATTGGTATAATTCTGACTTCTATGTTAATAGCCATAATGATGATTGTACTATGGAAATATTTTAAAAGACCAGTTTTGAATGACCAAAATTGGGCAGGAAGGTCTCCATTTGCTGATGGTGAAACCCCTGACTTATGTTTAGATAATATTAGAGAAAATGAAGTATCTACAAAACGTACATCAGTCATTTCATTGAAGGCCTTGAAACCAAGCAAAAGCACACTTTTAGCAGATGACTTAGAAATTAAGTTGTTTGAATCAAGTGAAAACATTGAAGATTCTAACCCCAAAGCAGAAAAAATAAAAGATCAAGTAAATGATACATCTGAGGACAGTGCTGACAGATCGACAGTTGGTACTGCTGTTTCTTCATCAGATGACACAGATCTACCTGCACCACCTCCACCCCTTCTAGATTTGGAAGGGCAGGAGAGTAACCAATCAGACACACCCGCAACGACAGCTACAGCTCCTCTTCCAAATGACTGCACCAGTCTTCCACCACCTCTGAACTGTCTCACTCAAGTCTGTGAAGATCCTAATTCTGAATTTGAACAGTCACTTCCACTTCCTCCTGACTCACTTAACTTACCCCTGCCACCAATGGATTTTATGAAAAACCACGAAGATTCCAACAGTGAGACTCAGTGTCAGGAGTTCTCAATTGTTCCTGATTTGGATCAAGATCTCAATGAGTCTCTGCCACTCCCACCTGAAGAGCTGTTGTAAATACTACTCCATCTTATTTTCTTTCTTCATGTGATAAAATATGCTAAATGACAACTGGTTGCTAATTTTGATTAATAATCAGGAATTACATCAGATCTGCTTCATCATCATGTATACCATCAGAACTTATTTTTTAAAAAGTATAGGGCACTCCCTGGTGGCACAGTAGGTTAAAGAACAGCACAAGAAGCTAAAGCCACTTCAGTATGAGTTCGATCCCTGCCCCGGAGGTGACCCACATGGCGCGGCAGACCTCTCCTGACCCACCCACTGCTCCCCTTAGCAGTGTGCTTCGTCAGTCGGACTCTTCTTCTCCCCACTGTTTCTGGTGAATCCTCTCACCACTCCTGCACCTCTGGCCTGTATCCCAGTTGTGGATGTATAAATAAATAAACAAATCTTTAAAAAAAAAAAAAGGATATAATAGTGATTTGTTTACTGGCTATAGTACCTAGCTTTAATGTACTATACATTTTACATGTATGGCAACTATGTATGTTGTTAACATATAAATTTTTAAATAAGCATTCTCCATGTACTAATTACCAAATAGCTGCCTTAAATTTTACTTTTCTATTGCAGAGGGAGATGAGAAATTAAAATGCATATGCTAAGTTTTAAATCAGTCTCTTGAGAATTAAATAAATATTCCAAGTTTGGGGATGAGAGATTTAAATGAATATTTGAGAATAGTGATAAATCCTTTCTACTCTCTGAAAACAAAAAAAAAACAAAAACCCAAAACATCACACTGGAGAATTGGGTTGGGGACATTTACCCTGGGGGGGGTGAGGGGGAGTCACATGAAAAGCCAAACATGAGTGTGCACCATAAAATGATTTTCCTTTCTTTTGTTTCTGTTTTTGTTTTTTTGGTGGTGGTGGTGGGGCTCCCTGGTGGCACAAGGGATTAAAACTAAGCACTATGAAGCTATCCACAGCCACTATCAACAGCCACTGTAGCCATGAGTTTGATTTTCACCCTGGGAGCTAACATACATGGTACAGCAGACATGTCTCCCCCTACTGCTCCCCTCAGCAATGTATTTCAGTCACCTGTTCTGCTCCCTACTATGTCTCTGATGAATTTTCTCACCTCTAACCCCTGCACCGCTGACCTGACCCCAGGCCTATACAAGTATGCATAAATAAAAATAAATCTTTTTTAAGTGAAATACTTTATTATTTTCTTTAATACAGAAGTTTTAGACAGATAAAGGTATCTATTCTGTGCTGAAGTACTAAAGAGTATTAGTAGTGATCTTGGTAGTAGTTATAGCAGTTATGTCATTCTGAAACATACCTGGTTCTTCCAATTTCCAGGAACATGATATAATTAACCTCCCTTGCTCCCTGAAGTTAGGAATGACTACATGACTTGTGTTGGCAATGAAATGCGAGTAGAAGTGACACATATCACTTAAATCTTTTATTAAAAGTTTTTTTTAGTATGTCTTAAGCAAACAAAATAAAAAATTGTGAAGAAATAAAACCCAATAAACTTTATTTCAAATTTTTATGATTTATTTCCAGGAAAAACAAGACCATGAAAATACAGCTGGTTCTCAACTTTCACTAAACTCATCTTTATAACACTAGCCATTTAAATTCTTAAACCACATTCCTTATGCAAAATTTCATCTTTTACACATTACCTGACAAGTAATAAACTGGAGTTAACAGACTGCTAAATCTGATGGATAAATCAGGAACTGATGATCACAATCTTCCTGATTTCTTCAAATAGGCAGATTTTCTCCTTTTGCTCTTTATGCAAGAGAACAGACTACTATAAGTAGCTAGTTTTAGTTTCAGTTTTAAAAAAAATTTTCTGCCAGGGAGGAAAATAATTGCTATTTACCACATTCAATTTTTCCCCACTAAGGTTAGTGGAAGCAAAGCACCCAAAACAGTAGCAATCTAATCAGCAGTTAGAAACACAAGTTAATAAAAAAAAAAAAAAAAAAAAAAAAAAAAAAAAAAAAAAAAAAAGGCAAGAAAAGTCTAAAAGAAAGTTTACTTTGGAAAAGGACAAAGGGGAATAAAAGGTAGAATGAACTATATACTATATTCCAGTGGTGCTCTTACACCAGGTTAGAA